CGCCGCTCGTCGGAAAGATGCAGAAAGGGATCGTGTGGCCCCGGGACACTGGGATCGTCGTAAATACGAGTCCTTGGCCCCAGTGCCTGACGTTCGATCACATGATGATGGGGAAGCTGCCGTGGTTGTAAAAGTGCGGGAAAATAGTGACTGTTCGAAGTTGCAACGGTGCTGAAAAAAAAAAAAAGAAAGACTTACGACCCGTTTTTCAGAGTTACGACCATCGCAGCATTCCCCACCGTCACGTGATCAGCCTTCCAATGCTTGGTAACTGACTCAAGTTGATGACGGTTTGCAGCGTACCGGGGGCCACAGGATCCCCTTTTGTGACCTTCTGACAAGCAAAATGTTCTGACCCAAACCTGGTTCCAAGGAAACAACCACGAAACGGCAGTAACAGCAAAACCTTTTCATGATTCTTTACGAATTCCGTTCCTTCCCGGTTCAAAGGCTGTTTCAAACTCATTGTCTCTGATAAGAAGGAGCCTTGCCAAAGTGGTGCAAGGCTGCCAAGAACACTAGATAAAGTTACTAAGAAATAGTTCAAACACAGTCACCAACCAAGATAGTCCGAACGTCCACAAGGCTCGAGTGCAAAAACGTCTTTGCTTCCTGCAAAGAACTCCGGTTTCTCAGCTGGCTTTTATCTCTTCAGGGAGGGGCCAACACCTTGCAGCCTTACTCCCGAGTCACCCGTGCTGTTGCAGCTGCTCTTTCCTTCGAGCGGCCCTGGGCACAGGCTCCTCGGGGGCCTCTTCCTCACTGCTGCCAGCCTCCACAATCTCCGAAGGCAGCCTTCCTCTCTCTGGTGGTCGTGGTCCCATCCCCGCATCACACGCGGGCCCCTCATCTCAGTCCTCGCTCTCCGAGACCTCAGCCGTACACACCTGAGGCCAAGCGAACCACAACACAAAGTCCAGGGAGGAAACCACGTTCATTTAACCGTGTGACTTAATTTAACAGCGGCAGTGATTCACTTAACAACAGTGGGGAAGAAAGGTCGTAAGATGGGATAAAACTCCCTGAACGGACGCCTCACTTTGCGTCTGTGTGACTAACTGAACAGTGAATCCTTTAACAACCATGGCAAGGAAGGTCGTAGAACGGGGCCAGACTCGCTTAACCAATGTCTCGCTTACCAAACGGTAATTTGGGCCTCACTTGCAGTTGTAAGTCAAGGAATATAACAGCACTCGTCTTCTTTCATCCATTGATTTATTGCATAGATTTTTATGCCTGCCAAATTCACACATGACATTTCCTGGGATGGAGAACTGAGCTGTTTCCTTACAACCTCAGAATTTCTTAAATATCTATATTAATCTTCCTGACGTGCCTTCTTTCTCCCAATCTCTAGGGGCGAATTCATCGATTGTCGGGCCCTTTTGGGCCACTGGGCTTAATGTCTGTTTTGTCGTTGATGTTTTCCTCTGAAGGAGAATATTGGTAGCTCAGGGTTGAAGTGAAGGGTCCTTGGCGCTCTCTGAACGCAGTTGTTTTCTTGCAGACGTTTCATGACCTAGCTAGGTAATGTTGTCATGGCTAGAAGAAGTGTGATTGTAGAAGGAGGAGGAGGAGGGCTGTGCAGTCCTTGCTGCTTTCTGAGCTTGGTTGCTTTCTTGCAGGCATTTCATGACCCAACTAGGGAACATCATCAGTGATAGAGGGGAGGAGGAAGAGGAGGAGGACTGTGAGGCCCTTGGTACTGTCTGAACCTAGTTGTTTTCTTGCAGACGTTTCATGACCCAACTAGGGAACATCATCAGTGATGGAGGAGAGGGAGGGAGGAAAAGGAGGACTCTTGGTAGCCTCTGAGCTTGTTGGTTTTCTTGCAGACGTTTCATGACCCAACTAACAGTCCTCGCTCGTTTCCTCTTTATAGAATCGTTCATTTCCTCTTTATATAGAATATTTATCTAGAATGTTACTGAGGTGATTTTTCTCCTGCCTCCAGGATCTTTACAATTGACTCCAAGCCTTCCCTCTTAAATCCCACCGGACCCCTGCTGCTATCATCTGCGATTAAACAAGGGCCGATGGATTTACAGCAGCTTCAGCACCGGGCAGCCATCATACCACCAATGGTAAGTGCTGGAGAGATGGGAACTCTTATCTTCCCCTTTCTTCTAAGCCTAGAAAAAGGTATAGGGCGGAGTTGTTGCCTAACTTACTGTTTCTCAGCATTGGCAAATTTAAGATGGGTGGACTTCCTCTCCCAGAATCCCCCAGCCAGGATGCTTTAACAGGGGAGGGCTTCCGCTCCCAGAATCCCCCAGCCAGGATGCTTTAAGATGAGTGGACTTCCACTCCCAGAATCCCCCAGCCAGGATGCTTTAACAGGG